GCATATCAAAAATTAAAAAAAACATTGAAAAGTGTGGGTGATAAAAGAGATCCTTGGGGAAGTCCAGCTTGTATATTGTGGCCAGTTGAGATAGTTATTTATTTGTACTTTGAATCTTCGATTAACTAAAAAGGATGTTATTATATATTGTTAGTTATTTCGAAGATCAATATTTCTCAATTTACAAAGTAGTCCATCATGCCAGATTTCATCAAATTCTTTCTTTATATCTAGAAATATAACAAGAGTTTGTCATAATTTCTGGAAATTAGTGGCAGTATAGTCTGTTAAGCATAGCAATTGATGAGTGGGAGGATAGTTGTGTCTAAAACCAAATTGACTACTAGGACAAATATATTATTTTGATTTACAAAAATTATAATCCTAGTTATAATTGCTCTTTCAAAAATGTTTGAATCGTTTGGCATCAAACTAATTGACCTAAAATTATCAGGTATAGTTTGATCTGTATTATGTTTGAGAATTGGTAGAATAAGTGCAGTTTTTCAGGAGTTAGGAAAGTACCAGAGTCTAAAACAAGCATTGTAAATAGCTGTTAGTGAACTTAGAATGGGATATGGTAAATGTTTAATTACAATATTAGGAAGTAGACCTGAGCCTGGCGATTTCTTGTTTTTAAGTTTGAAAATTGTGTACTTGATTTTAGATGGAGAAATAAATTTAATTCTTCAGGAACTGTGTGAAGTGGATTAGCTAATGGTGGAACTATGTTTTGTGTGAAGGCAGAATTATAAGGCCGCCGAACGGTGCTCCCGTGCGGCAGCGCGCGATCTCGGCACGGTGGGGGGCCTGCTGGTGGGCTGGCTCGCTCCAAATTGACTGTCTTCGTTGATCGACTCTGTCACTTCTCGGGTGCGGTTTGACTTCATGATATTTCGGTGCGTTTTCGTATAGTCGAGGGCGATCACCTGGAGTTGCTCGTCCGAAATTCGGGTCTTTGTACTCAGCTTCCAGTAAGATATGGTTTGAATGCTTCGTTCAGAACAGGCATGTGTTTTCTCCCTCTCTCTCTCTCTCTCTCTCTCTCTCTCTCTCTCTCTCTTTCTCTCTTTCTCTCTCTCTCTCGCGCTCTCTTTTCCTTCCCTTCTTTATTCTCTCCTTTCACGACCGCTCTCCCTCCCCCTTTCGCATCTTTCTTTCATTCTCTATTTTTCTTTTCTTTTTTTCTCACTTCTTTTTATCTGTTCTTCTTTTTTATGCATTTCTCTATGCTTGCTTCTCTCTCCTATTCTCCTTCCCCGCCCCTCTCTTACGCACCTCCCTTCCTCTCTTTCTCTCGCAGTAAAAAAGATTACCGCCTGGCTCTCCCGTCGCCTTTACTGAGGCCGGTATAAAGCTGATTATCGCTGCGTAATGTCGCCAATTACCATAATGCAGTCGGTTGTGGCTATTGGGTCGCGTCGTTGTGTTCCATTAGGCGGGCGCGGGCGGGTAGGAGCTGCTGCGTGTGGCCGTAAAGGGCGGTTTGCGACGCCTCTACCCTCGCAGCAATTCGCGTTTGCGCCTTGGCTGCTTTTACACCGTGATCGGAGAATAACTGCGTTTAATGCACACAGAATGACACTTAGTAACAGGTTTTCCCTGCGTCTTGCACTGAGTGGTAATAAAATATACGTTTTGCGATCAACTTTGCTCTTTCGGGAGCAGGGTGCTGTGCCATTTTCTAAAGCGATAAGTTGGTTAATAATGGTTAATACTTTATGTTCAGTGGTTGAAGTTCAATTTTTACACCGAATCGATTTAATGCGGAAACCAGTCAAATGGGGAATGAAATCACAGGGATTGTAAAGGAAATGGATATTCAATGGTTATTCGTGGTAGAAACAATTTAATTAATTCTGTAACAAAAATACATTGAAAAGATCTTTAATACTTTGAAAAGAAAATAAATATGGCTGGCAAGTAACATTGACTGTGTTCTGATTGAAATCATATCTCGTGTTTTTACATAAAACTGATATTTTTTTTATTTTCTTGCAGTTCGTAGGAAGAGAAAGAATTGTAATCATGCTCTGGAAAATTAACACTGAATTTTCAGTAAAAAGGACTTATTGATGGATAAGGATAAGTGGAAAGCTCCTGTTCGTATGTATAGTAAATTTCTTCCTGTAACTCGGTGTAGCCAGAATCCATGTTTTGTGCGTTATTGATACCCAATGATACCCAACGGCGAAATGTCTGTCTGTCTACGACCGTCCGCCTGTCTCTCCGTTTGTGGTCAATGCTAGCGCCTAAACTAATCAGCTGATTTTCTCCAAAACGTTGATTCCTAATCAATCTGAACGATCTCAAGGCTTTGGGAGTTTCAAACGCACATTTTGATTTTTGAGAGTTCTTTACAAGATGCCTAAAACCATTTTTAAAATGATCTGAAAAATGGCTCCAAATATTTTATTTAACTTTTTTCGAATAGGGTAAAGAGAATCTGAAGGGAGATATGCTGGTTTCATCTCCGTTAAAATCCCTTAATTTTTTTTTTAAATTTCAAGAGTGCAACTTTTGGATATTTTTCCAATACTACAATATTGTAACACTCTACCCCCTTTTTCATTTATTATCAATATATCAATATTAACTTTAACCTGGTCTATCTGACCACAACGGGCACTGCGCAAATTCTCCTTAGAGGGTGGGGTGAATTACAGTGTGAAAAAATCAGATCTTTAAAAAACGTCATGTGAAATGTTTTGCAATAGGAGTAGTTTTTGCGTAATTTGTCTGATTTTGATGCGATATCTAGGTTTTTTTTAATGTTCCAAATTGTTTCATTAAACTTTCTCCACTTGTGTAACTACGAACGGTAAAAAATGTGGTGCTAGACCCATTTTCGGCTAATAATCCGTAGTTTCGATAATTGCATGATGCAAATATTGTGTTGAGAAAATTAACTTTTTAGTGTCAACCTGACTTGGAACATCACAGCGTTTCAGTAACATAGTGGTGTGGCTGTCGGCGAGTTAACTCGGAGGATCTGAGTTATAGTTTCGGTGCGGAAAATAATTTTTGCTTGTTGAAAACACTTTTTCCAATTAGCGATGTAATTTGCTCTACAGAGTAGCAATTAGAAATGCTGCGAGAAAGTACATGCCGTTGTAGCTCCGAAATTTAATAATAAAAATAGCATTATCTGAGAACGGTTCTTCAACACAATATTCTTAATCTGAGGAGATTAAATGTCTTAGTAAAAGTAAAATTTAATCAAGTTTTATATTTGTAAGTGACACTTGTATCAATTTTTTTGTGAACATTTTACTTAACACTAAGGCCATTCACTTTTGTAATGTTGAAGAATCCAGTAAGAGAAACAAAACGTAGAAACCAGCGGTCTATTAGAGAATTATTGAGTGAATATTTGGTTTTTATATTAGCTCATATGTCTCTAATTATTAAATCATGTATTTTGAAATAGATTTAAAACAATTTTGTGGATTGAATATCAGATAAATGAAGGGTAATTTCAATTCTCAAGTAAGTTTTTCCAATGCCATTAAAATGGGTGTCATTGTTACTTTTTCATTGAAAAACTCATTCTAAAGGCAATTTTAAATGGAAGCGTTTTACCGTTATTCACAGTAAACAGTGAAAGTGTAAATACAACCAAATGAAAGATAATAGAGAAGTTAGAAATGAACACATTTCCTGTGAGTATTGCTTACACAAAGAACTTGGTAATTAGCTTTGGTAAAAATATAACAAATAAATGGGTGATTTTATTTCTGATCCATCCAGTTTCTGAAAAGGGAACTTTATGAAGAAGGGATATTTTTTTATCCGGTGGAGTAGTATCTTTCCTATATGCTTTCATCGACGAACAGACGCTCCTTTAAGACAGCTAATCCCACATTGGTTGACGATCCACCAATGGGGTTTATGGTAGGAATTGGGACTGCTGAGAGGTGTCCGATCCGATTCGATACGTCCTACTGAGCGAAGGCGACTCAGCGCGCAGTTCGACCCGCTTTAACTGACCTCCACCCCACCCAGACCTTCCCATCTCCCACCCCCTGGCCAACCCAGCACCATCCCTCACTCTCATTCACTCACTCACTAGTTTTCGCCCCTCATCTTCTTCTCTCCCTTGTCACCCACTTTTCCTTTCCCCTTTCTCTTGTTTTCCCTGGCCCCTCTAACCTCTCTCCAAATTTCCTCTAATACGCCCTTTATATTTCCTCTAACTCTCTCGCTCTCCACTCTCATCCATCCTTTCTCCACCTTTCACTCGCATTCCGTCTTTTTAACCCAATATTTCTCTCTTCCTACTCACCCTCCCTCTCTATTCCCTCAAATCCACTCACTGTCTCCCCTCTCGATTACCTTCCCTCGCCCTCTATTCCAAACTCCCTCATCTCTCACCCACTCTTCCTCTACCTCGTCACTCGCTCACCAAATCTCACCCAAACCTCTTCCTCTCCTTGCCCAATCTTCTATCCTACCCTTTATATCTTCTCATTTGGCACTTCTTGCGCTCCAGTGCCACCTCTACCCCACCCCCGTCCTCATCATTCTACACACCTCACATTCGGCATAGTTTCTGTCTTAAGTCCCTGCACTCTGCCTTTTCCTCCTCTCCCGCTCCCTCACTTTCTTTTGCTTTCTCTCCTTCCGTTTCCTCCTCCACTCCCGTCTCCGTACCATTCTTCGCTTTCATATTCTCCTACTCCCACCTAGAGATACACTAACATCCGCCTCAACATTCCATCTCTTCGTCTGCCTTCTTTCCTACCATCCTACGTCCCCTTACGTACAGCAAATCCGCCTTCCTCTCCTGTCAGCACTGATCCCACTTCAGACATTACATTTGTGGTCCGTCTCCTCTACCGTCCAGCAAGCCACCCTCCTAAGTTTCCCACCGCCATCCTCGCTTCCACTGCGTAATCCGCCTTCTGTACTTCATCTTCCCCTCCGCTCATTTTCACCCTTTCCTCCACCTTCGCCACTATCGACAATTATCGCCTCGCCTTATTCGTTTGTCTCCGCAGGTATCCTCTCGACCTCTGGTCTTCCCACCTCAACCCCCTTTTCTCTCACCTCTACTCGCGCTCCCATCCTTCACTTGCTCTCTCGCCCCCGCCCACTCGTGCCCACTTAGGCGATCTGCCCGGTTGCCGCGGCCCGCCCGCCCGGCCGAGCGCGAGGATTACGCGGACGTCGTTAGGGCGCGGGAGGGCGGGGCGGGGCGGGGCGGGGCTGGGCGAGGCATAGAGGCGGCGATGGCTCCTCGGTCGCGCCGCTCCGCCGCCTCCAGCTGGCGGCTAGTCGGCGACCGAGCGGAGCGGGATTTTCGTAAGCCGGCAGCCAGACATTCACCTGAAGACTTCTGGGAATTAGAAGTAGGCGAGTTGTAGGACGACTTTTTTTTCAATGGACTTTAGAACGTACCCTATTTTTGCCTAGTTTCCTTTGTAGTTGTATGTGGATAAATGCATTTCCTGTTTAGTTACGTAAATGTGTAGAATTATCTTTGCTTCGTCATCAAACTTGATGAATGTTCAAATATATTTAAATCATTAAAATAATAAATTTATTGTTTTACAAACACCAAAAAACGCCCCCAAATTTTACTACGTTTTCTTTTGATATTTAAGAAAATATGACATTGAAAATCTTAGAGGTAATAGTCTACATCACAAAGAATCCCGTCCTAATTGTGACGCAGTATTTCACATAAAGGAATTGCAAAATCAGTATTTGGACAATAGATTAATAACATTAGAAGACTTCATTGCAATAAAGCCGACCAAAGGGAAATTGGTAAAAGGCGACGTAAAAGGAGTAGTAATAGTAGGTGAAGAATATAAAATAAACCCAGGATGACGCTATAACACGTTGAAAACGGAACGGAGAGGCATATAAATGAAAGTACGGAGAGTCGCACATAAACAAACCACCCTCGGCGCGAGGATAGAGTTACGGGTCCTTTGCAACAGCTAATGCCCGCCTGCAGTGAACCTGACCCGCAGTTACGGTCGCGGGATACGGCGAGGGGCTGGGGAGTGGCCGGTCGAGCGAGGCCAGGGCGGCGTCCAGCGATGGCTGCAGATAACTGGGTGGGCGGGGGCGGCCGTCATGCCGGGAGACGTAATCCCACGCTCGGACGGGGGCGGGACCACCGCGCCGCGCCGCGC